TGTTTTGTGACTAGTTGCTTAGAACAAGTTAAGGGAACACTTTTATCATCCGGTTAGTTTTGGGATTATTATGGCTGTACATGAGCTTCCTGTCATGAGCACCCTTACGGAAATATTCCATGGAAAACCCATGGAATTCCATGAGTAAACCATGGTTTTCCCATGAAAAACGGGAATTCCATGGAATTTCCATGGGTAAATTTCATGAAAATTGAAATCCTATGGAATTTCCATGGGTGAACCATGTTTTTTTTTTTCATAGCTTAAGCTGCGCCATGGTTGTTACAAATGCGCTTTTAAAGATGGCGTCATAGCTCGTAGAGTTATGATTATTTTTAAATTAGAAAACAATACTTACTGCATTCTTCTGTTTTTCTGTGTTTAATAAGGCTATGAATTATATGTTTTTTATAATGCAATACATTTTATATTATAAATCAATATGATTTAACTAAACATACAGACATAAACAACTAGATATATTTATCATATTATAATGCATTATAAAAGGGATTATTTTTAATTATATTTTATTATATATCATTTATGCATATACTTATTTTAACTGTTTCCAGTAGCTTTGCTTACTTTGCATAACTTGCAATAGTATAGCAAGTATGTCAAGTAAACCAGTTTGAATTTTAATGCCTACTTGGCAAATTATTTGCCAAATAATTATTATTTGGTTTACAACAAATAAATGTTTAGTTTTAATCTACATTAAATAACTAGTGTATTAATGTACATAGTGTAATTTAATGTACATTCAAACTAGTATAATTATTATTATAAAATTTATCGAACGTATTAAAGAAACTTATTTAAAATATTAATATACAAGCAGTATATTAGATAAGATTAGATAACTAAGATAATAAGATTAGATAACTAATGTACAAAAGATAACTAGTATGATCTTTTTTATTTTTTTTTATAATAGCCTTAGATTACATAAAAATGCTTGAAGTTTATTGTATCGTAAATGTTCATTAAGTATTAAAAAACATTTTTTTATGATAAATGTTCTATTCAATTTTAGTTCTGTTAAGTTGTTTTTGTCTTTTTGTTGTAGTTTTTTCTTTAGAATTATTAGAATATGTAAATAATGTAATATAAATAATGTTTATAAATTCTTTTATATTTACTTTATTATTTCATTTAAATTACTACATTATAAGCCAACAGGTTTGACTGGCAATATAAATAATGTTGTTCATCGTTTATATTGTTTATAACATCGTCAGTTTTTATATGCATTTAATATTTTTAAAAATAGTTCAAAAGCTGTCAAAATAAAATGGTGAATTGAGTTTAAACCAGAAAAGATATAAACGTAATCTTTGGGATTCAACTTGTAAGGATGTTCCAAGAACCACTTAGTTGGAGAAGGAAAACTGTGGTAATATTTTATAAGTATCAGTATAGGAATTTACTTAATGCACAAGATTTTACTTCATAGTTAAATATAAGCATATAAAAGCAATGTTTATAAATAATACACTATTATTTATTATAATACAATTATTTTTATTTGTTTATATTTAACTGATGTAAAGTGCTCGTCTTTAGTTAAAATAAATTAATTTTTGCACACACCTTTATATTTTCTATGCTTTTACATTACTATACTTTATAGATTACATATTTGTTATGTTTTAAATAGTGAAGTAAAAATATAATAAATTTTTGAATTTAATGGTATGTGCGTAAGTTCTTTTATTTTAACTTTATCATTTTATTTAAATTACTGCATTATAAGCAGGTAAGTTTGACTGACAATATAAATAATGTTGTACATCATGCAGACAGCTCAGACAAAGAAGTAAGTTTTTACTTAAAATTACAATTTATAAGTTATACTATATTTGTTGCTGCCTTATTCTATATAAATGTTACTAACATGCAGGTAAAATTTATATATGTGTATAAATCTTTTCATTTTAACCTTATCATTTCATTTAAATATAAATTTTTAATTTATTTATTTAGCCGTTCATTAACAAGTCCTGTGCTTTATAATATATTAAAAAATGGAAGGACGTGAAGAAAACAGGTTTGTAAATGATGTTGTACATCATGCAGATAGCTCAGAAGAAGAAGTAAGTTTTTTTTTTTAATTACAAAAGTAAATATATAATATAATATTTGTTGCTGCCTTGTTCTATATAAATGTTTCTAACATGCAGGTAACATTTATATATGTATTAGTTTGAATAAATCATTTTAATAAAGTTACATTATAGGCAGGAATGTTTGACTGGAAATATAAACGATGTTGTACATAATGCAGATAGCTTAGGCAAAAAAGAGGTAACAATCTAATAATTTGTATTTATAAATAATGATATATTCATTGCTACTTTTTTCTATATACCTAACATTTGGCAACATTCATAATTGTGTATAATGCCTAATTATAAAGTAAGTTATAATAGATAATAATTATAAGTAAAATGAATTAGTAAATAAAGAAAACTAGTTAGAATGTATATAATAGTTGTATGATGTATTGTCTAGATTGGTGAAATGGAGAATGAGACTAACTAGGGTGAAAAAAAATGAATATTAATATGTGAATGGTACTTTGTTTAACATCTACCTGTTTCTACAGATACAGTACAGACGCATTTATAAATGGGCTTGATGTTTTTTTGAATTAAATATGTTGTATTGATGGTTCTTTTTAACTTGTTAAAACTTGAAGTTATTATCAAATTTATATATACTATTTTTATCAAATAGTTAATATAAAATAATAAACATGTAAATTGTTTTATTTTTTGTAAAAATTTCAATTGATATTTGTAAAAATTTGTAAATGTAAAAATTTCAATTTGATAAATTTCAATTGTTTATCACTATGTATATCACTTATAGTATTATATTACTTGTAATTTTTTGTTTTATTTATTTTCAGTATGTTATACATATGCGTGCATTAAATATTGTGGGGAAGTCAAGTTTTGATGTTTTAGGTGCATTATAGCTATTATTTTTCAAAGATTTGTAGGATTTAACAAGATTTAAATTTTATTTTGTTTATTGATTTTATTTGAAGAAAGCGATCTCATAGATTAAGAGAACTCAATAATAGTGGGATAAAATTTGCTTTTATGATTTAATATGACAATTCAAATAACATTAGATAAAAAACTTGAAAACAAATCATGCTTTTTTACCATGAAAAATCCATAAGTTTTCATTGGAAAGGTGTTCCTAATACCTATGGAAATTCCATGGTTTTTCCATGGATGGAAAATCATTGAATATCCATGGTATTTGGAACACTTTTCCATGAAAAACTTGAAGATTTTTCATGGGAAATTCATGTGTTTTCCATGGAAAACTCATGGTTTTTCCATGGAAAACTCATGGTTTTTCCATGGAAAACTCATGGTTTTTCCATGGAAAACTCATGGTTTTTCCATGGAAAACTCATGGTTTTTCCATGGAAAACTCATGTTTTTTCCATGGAAAACTCATGGTTTTTCCATGGAAAACTCATGGTTTTTCCATGGAAAACTCATGGTTTTTCCATGGAAAACTCATGGTTTTTTCATGGAAAACTCATGGTTTTTTCATGGGAACGTGTTCCAAATACCCATGGTTTTTCCATGGGTTTTTTTTCTAAAATTCCCATGGGAAATTTTCGTACGGGCATCTCCATTTCTGTGCGTGTTTTTTTTTTCTTTTTCTTTATTTTTACAATTAGAAGATGGTTTGAAAAATATGCAATAGTTTAAAAAATATACAATAATTGTCCAACCGCTATACTCCAGTAAGAATTATTTAATTACTTCTATTTCTCATTGAAAATATATCAAGTATGAGTTATATTTCATTTAAAATACTCACAAGCAATTTATGTTCATAAAACTAACTACATGAACTCAACAAACTTTCAACTTCAGGGCACGACTTTTGTGCGTGACCATACATGAAGTGCATTTAAGCAAATATTGTGATTCTATGATACATATTGCAATCCTGTAACTTTCTAAAAATCTTTACTGTATAAATTAAAGGTTGCACTGTATAATTTAAAGGTTGCTGATCATCACTGATTGAATAAAATACAAAATAATTTTTATTGTTTTGTTTTTCTCATTAAATTTTTTCAATTTCTATGTACATCTGTTTTAGCATTTTGTTTTGAATAGCCCAGAACAAATGATACCTTTAAAAAACCTGCTAAAAAAGTAAGATTTTTTGTTCTAGTGTTCAAGCACGTGCGCACATAGGTGCATGTCTATCTTTGCAGAATATATAGCAATGGTGTCTTTATAAAAGTACTTATCTTGGGCAGATGTTATTTATATCCAGCTACTGTCTTGTAGGAAACCTCCTAACAAAGATTAGGGGGTAAGTAAAGTAATTCTGCTAACCATTTTCGAAACCTTTCTATATCTTTTGGCTCTGTTTTTTTTTTTTTTTTTTTTTTTTTTGTATTTAGGTGCTACCAGAAGTCCTTGCGGTCTTATCATAGAGCACCGCGGGAGAGCATTTAACAGGAAACAGGAAGTTCACGCCTCCTTCCGTACCAATGTCACTTGTTGGGGTAGAGCTGACGTCGAACCTCGGACCTCTAGGTTCTGAGCCAGAACTCTAACCACTGCGCCACGGCTGCTCAGCTGCTTTGCACAGCTGCAAAATATTAGAGTTACCCGAGAAAAAAAAACCCACTAATACTACTAGGAATATGTTTAACGTCCTGCTAATCCTGTTAAGTTCCTGCTAATACGGCTAATCCTGGTAAGTTTTCGCTTAATACGGCTAAACCTATTAAGTTTCCCATTAGTGAAATGACGTTTATGAATTTCCTGCTAATCCTAGTAAGTTCCTACTAAGTACTTATCAGGATTAAACGAATTACTTAGTAAGTTCCGAGTAAGTTTTCAAAAATAAAACAAGTATAAAAAATCGTCTTTGTTAAACGCCATCTTTTATTTATTCACACGGAAGACAAGTCAGCTTTTTTAGATTCAATTGTTTTACTAATTAATATTTGTAATTCTATAAAGAAAAAGCTCAAGAACATCTGGGGATGATTGCGTGGTTTGCAGTTTATTTGATGAATATTTGTTCATGTGTTATAATGTGGTTTTAAATGTTAATTTTAACTCTATATAAATTCGAGCATTTTCTGTTGTATCAACTCGAGCATTTTCTGAGTGATATGCATGGTGATGTGTTTTTTAAATTATATTTTATTTTTATTTCTGATTTTTTTATTTTCATTGTTTATGATTTTATATTGTTAAATAAACATAAAATCATAAATCATAAACAATTATATTGTCACTCTTTCTTTTTACTATTTCTTTTTACTATAAAGAGTAAGTGACTTATCTTTATTATTAGAGATTTGTCACTTTGTTTTAGTATAAAGAAAGACTTTTATTTTTAATTTCCTTAAAATTTTATTTGTAATTTTTTTTAAAAAGTCAAATTTTTATGTCAAAAAACCACTCACTTCAAGCTTGACTAAAAGTTTTAGTCAGACTAAAAGGGAGTAAACCATTTGACATTAAAAATTGATCAATATTGATATAAATCTCACTTAAAATATATATAAACATTTTTTACTGGTAAATATATTTTTAATGTTATCTCTTGTTTACAAGAATTAACATTTCTTTTGAACATGTTAAACAAACTATAAAATTATTGAATATTGTTATTTTTTGTATTATAATTTTTATTTACTTAACATTAAGATTTTTGTTATAAATACCATTATATAAATTAATTTAAAATTTCCATAATCTAATTTTATGATATTTTGATTAATTACTACTGTATATAGTTATATAATGCTAGTTACTCAAGTTTTTAGTAATATATATACACACACAATATGTTTAGTTCCATCTCAAACCATGTACAATCAATCAGCTTCAGGTAACTATTTTATTTTCTGTTTCTTTATATATAATGTGATTATGCATAATTATTCATTAATCATGTTGAATTTAAATAAAGAACTTGAAATTTTTTGAGTGTGTGTGTGTGTATATATAGTATATATATACATATATGTATATATATATTTACATATATGTATATATTTATATATATATATATCATATATATATATATATATATATATATGTATATATATATATATATATATATATATATATATCATATATATATATATATATATATATATATATATATGTATATATATATGTATATATGTATATATATATATATATATATATATATATATATATATATATATATATATATATATATATATATATATATATATATATATATATATATATATATATATATATATGTATATATATATATATATATATATATATATATATATATATATATATATATATATATATGTATATATATATATACATCCTGCAAAATTCAGGTTGGTAATGCCAAAGCAAAAGCCAACCTATTTTTGCTTCACGCCGGCATGCAACTGCTGACCTAAATCTTTGTAACAAGTAGAAAAAGTAATTTTTTTGTCCACCTGACAAATATTTATTATTTTGATAAATAAAAAAATGATAATTTTGAAATAGACAAAATAAAAAAATAAAAACTAAGAAAAATTTAAGAAGATTTTTTCTTATATAAAAAGATGTTCATCAAAGTCTTGTAGATCTTTTTAGTCTAATAGACTCCATAAAATTGCCACATTTTTTTCGATGGAAGCCAAAAAATTTGAATAATGAACTTGTTAAGTGGAAAGCTCAAGAGCACAAGTAATTTCTATTGTATTATGGGCCATTTGTGTTTTACAAACTTGGTAATGCTGAAATTTGTTCTCTTTATTTAATGCTTTCAACATCTATTTATACATTATCAAATGAAATTGTTTCATCAAATGATATTGATGCTTGTCAGCAACTAGTTTATTTATTTCAAAAGGCATTATGCTCCTATTTCGGTGAAAGTATTCGCACATTCACTTTCCATGCATTAGTGCATCTCTCTGACCAGGTAAAAAATTTTGGACCTCTTACAGCAACGTCTGCTATGGTGTTTGAAAATGTAAATCGCCAACTAAAGAGGTCTCTTACAGGAACTAAAGGCCATGGAAGGCAAATGGCTGAAAAATTTATTAAATTTCAGACGGAAGACCACTTAAATACTTTTTCTTTGAATCCTTTTGTGTTAGGTGCAGCACAAAATATATCAGATAAGTTGCGGAATATGGATTTGAATGATTTAAATGTCGACTTTATCAGTTTTATAACCGTTTTAGAGTTGCAGATAGAACTTTTCATGCTTATCATTATGGTAAAAACTTAAAATCAGCTTCATATTATGCATATTTAATAGAATTTAATGTGATTGTGAAAATTTTGTTTATTGCACATAACCAAAGACAAATCTTGTGTATATGTCGATTGTATAAAAATGTAAGTAAGTTTCATCGTCATATGGATTCTTTTAATATTCCTATCAAAATCAAGCATGTTTTGTCAAAAATATCTCCTTATTTATTGTTGAAAAAGTGTGAATTAGCTGTTTTTGATTCAAGCAAATTTACTCACTACGCTCTTGTAAAAAAAACAAAGAAATTTTATTATAGTGTTGTTATTCAAAACAATTAAGAACATGATTAGGTTTTATTTCCATTTTTTAAAGTTTGAAATTGTATTATGTTTTTTTGTATTATTATATATTTACTTCACAATATTCTTTTTATTAGAAGTTGTTATTTAGGATTCTGTTTGCAATCAATTAATTAATGAAACATCAAACTTAATTCATAATGGCGTCAAGAGTTTGTTGTTTACAATGATCTAAATCAGATTTCTTTTTGTACCATTCTGACTTTGTGTAGTGTTCTTTTAAGAATTAAATAAATTTGTTAAGAGAAAAGAAATCGTATCCACCTGCTATCGCGGATAACAGGTTGATACGATTAATATCTATTAGTTAATTAAATATTTATTTTAGATACAATTATTAATTGTTTTTCGTCAACTGTAAATTTTCCTTTTTTATATATGTATATAAAAATAATATGTGTATATATATGTGTATATATATATATGTGTATATATATGTGTATATATATATATATATATATATATATATATATATATATATATATATATATATATATATATATATATATATACATACACACGAGGCTTATTTAATTTTTTTAAATTTAACTTAGTTTCATATTTTCATACACTTTTATTTTGAAATGTTAGATTATAATAGCTTTGAAACAATGATATTGAAAGTTTTTTCATCGTTCTAAATTTATGGTAAGTTAAATATGCTTTTTTGTTATAAAATATATGTTATTATGTTGTTGAATTACATTAATATTTTTATAAATTACGTTATAGCTACAGTTATGGTCGTAAAAGATTAAGAAAAATCTTATGGGTGCAATTATTCCACTGACACCTGCGAAATTACCAAAAGAACTGACCATCACTGTTTATTGTATTTTTTTAAATGTTCTAGTTAAACAATCTAACATCTAATTATTTGTTATTTTTATTATTGTTTTATAAATAAGCGTCCTTATTGCTTAGCGACTAGTTAAGTTATATTATAAGGATTATATTTTCAAGAAGATTCTGTGTTTAAGTAAAAATTATTATTTTTACTTAAACTCGTATATTTCTTGAAAAATAAGCCTACTAATATATCTATGAAATCTTTAAAACTCAAATAATTAAATAAAACCCTAATAAACATATGAATTTAACTAAAAAAACTAATAACTAAAACTAGAAAGTAATACTTAACCGAGAAAAGAAAACCTACTAATCCTGTTAAGTACCTACTAAGTTCCGAGTAAAAACCCTAGTAATACTACTATGTTTCCTTCTAAAATCCTGCTAATCCTACTAAGTTTCCTACTAAAAACTTGCTAATCCTACTAAGTTTCCTACTAAAACCTGCTAATTCTACTAAGTTTCCTACTAAAACCTGCTAATCCTACTAAGTTCCTAGTAAGTACTCGGCGGGAACTTACTAAGTTTTAGAAGGAAACTTATTAGGAACTTAACAGGATTAGCGGGGTTTTTTTTCTCGGGTATAGTCACATGCTCAACTTGAGGGTATACATAAGCATCAATTTACCTATTTGTTGTGAAATTAGGTTCGAATCCTTTGACTATTCATTTATATGTTTTCCGCTTAGCACCTCTTCACACTATCATCTTTCTCTTTGTTGTTAATTGTTCTCTTTCTTCCCAAGACTCCACTATTTTAGATGTTATTTCTGATCAAATTGACAGTGCCTTTTCTTTTTAACCCTCATCAAAGTTTTTGTTATTGGTGACTATAATGCTCATCACACTGAATACCTTGGTTCCAACGCCACTGATTTCTGCATTTCTCAATCTCTTACTCAATTTTACTTAGACTTACTCAGTTAATTTATGACTCATTCTCCTGACAACCCTAATCATTTACCTTCCTTCCTTAATTTATGTTTGGTCTCTGATCCTAGCTTGTGTTCATTTTATTAATTTTCTCTTTTAGGTGGTTCTGTCTATGCAGTGATATCTTTAATTCTTTCATCTTGTACTTCCTATTATTGCACTACTTATTACCCTAAAGCTGACTAGGATTCTTTTTATAGTCTTTTTCATGACGGTACTGAGGCTGATGTCTTTTCCCTCTCAGCTGAAAAATGTACCTCCTAGGTAACCTTTTTGATTAAGGCAGGAATGGATGCTTTTATTCCTTTTCATCAGTTCCAAGTCAAGCCTCATACTACTCCATGGTTCATTACAAAGAAAAGGTCTAGCATTCCATATCTAATTCATGTGAATAATTTTATTACCTCTCCTAAGGATAAGGCAGAACTATTTGCAAAGGCTTTTCTTCTAATTCAACTCTCAAATCTAATAGCCATTTTTTTCCTTACATTCCAATTAAAAATGTTAACCCATCGTTAGACATTCACTCCAGCTTCCAATGCTAAAGTCATATATTGGTTAAACTATGGCTTGTGGTTCAGGCAATATTCCTGTCATAGTCTTACAAAATTGTTCTCCAATTCTCTCTTAACTATTTAATAAGTGCTTATTTTCCTGCCTGCTGGAAATTGGCATAGGTTGTCCCAATTTTCAAAAACTCCAGTTAACATTCTGGCCATCTAATTATCTTCCGATCAGTCTTTTTTCTGTTATTAACAAGGTCTTTAACTTTTTGATAAATAAATATCTCACATCCTGTCTTTAGTCAAACAAGTTACTGTCAGACAATCAATAGGGTTTTCAATTCCTTTACTCTATGGCTGACTTGCTAACTTATATGACTGAAAGATTTTATTGTGCATTTGATGAAAGCCGAGAGGCTTAGGCTATTTCTCTTGACATATAAAAGGCTTTTGATAAAGTTTGACATGCTGGTCTTCTCCCCAAACTTCTTTCATTTGGTGTATCTAGTAAATTTTTTGAGATTATCAAATTGTTTCTTTTTAATTGCCTTCTGGGGTACCTCAAGGTCTATCCTTGGTCCTGTTTTGTTTCTAATTTACATTAATGATCTTTTCAACAGTCTTACATCTAAAGTAGCTCTTTTTGCTGATTGAATCTAATCTCACTTCTGTAACACTTTCGGGCTCACAGTGGATTGTAAATTTTAACCTCAGATATTTACTGCAAACAACTATCACAGCACTGTTGACATTGCTATTTTAATGAATGGCAACCCTCTCACTGAATTCTTTTTTTTTATGTCTTCTTGGATTATTGTTTACTACGACCTTTTATGGAAATCATATATACAATCGATTAAAGAAGGTTGCTTGTTGTTGTTGTGCTCGCTATTTTCTCTCTCCTGATTTAATTCTCTATCTTTACAAATCTCTTATTGGTTCCTGTATAGAATATTGTCATATTTTGGTGGTTCTTCTAATCATGCTCTTACTCTTCTAGACAAAGGACAAAGGGTCATCCATAATTAATATTATGCTAAAGAGGTGGGGTGGGTGGATTTCTGGTGCACCAACAATTCTTCTTTTTTGTTAAATTTAATGTAAGTAGTTTTATTAGTAGGATTGTTCCTTTTTACTGCTGCATTATACTTATCAATGAATAATTGTACATCTTATTTAGTAAGTGAAACTAGCCCCAGCTAAGTATGGAGGTTTGCAAACCGACTAGTCAAAATTAGAAGACTCAACAGGGTTGATAGCCGGGGCTAGAAAATAATTTTCAATACATTATATATATTATAAATTTGTACATATATTTACTGTTGGTTAAATTTTTTTTTTTCTAAATAAAGTTTTAATATGAGATAGGAATTTATTAATTTCAACATAAATTTATAAAAAATATTTGTTTTTAAGTATCAGATTTTGTTATTACATTAAAGTTGTTGTTATATGTTTATTCTATTTCTTTAATTATGTTCATGCAACTTCCGAGTTGACTAAATCAAGAAAAGAAGAACTTGATTATGTAAGTTTTTATATTTAAAGGTAGTTGTGATTACAGCGCGGGGATTGGAATGAATTTGTATGTGGGTGTAGTCAGGGGATAGATGAGCTTAAGTGTTTTGCATTAAAAATTGAAGCTTATTGTATTGCAAATAGTTATTTCTAAAAAATTTAATCCCACAAAAAAAATGAAAAAAAATCTCTTTTATTATAATATACTTTAACAATACCTTAAAATTTGCATTAAAAAAGTTCATAAAATTTTTCTGAATGATTTTGCTGCGGTTCATCATATGCTACTGTTTTTTCATCAAAGAATTGTTCAAAAAGTCTAAAAAACTTCTTTGACTTATTTAGTGATGAAATTTGACCACAAACTTTTTAATTACATTAAGAATTCATTTTTTGATTTCAGCTTGGTATGTAAGTGCCCCATAATCTTAGCAGTTATTTGTTTTATCTAAATTTTTTATTAATTTTTGTTATTTTGTTTGTTTAAAATAAAATAATGACGACAACTCCTACTCATGTCAATTTTTTTATTATAACATATTTTGTATAAACTCATTTTTGTATAGGGGAGAGTGAGACATCATGAAACATTGTAACTGTGGCAGCATCTTGAGAATTGTAACAACCACTTTCATATGGTGAAACAGTTACTACTAGAGCTATGTTTTGAAATAAAAAAATATATTTCATCTGACACAGCTTGGAATGGCGCTATTTAAAATTATTTATGAAAATCTAAAGCATAGACTAAACGTAAAATAAAATTAATGAATTACATAATTGAAATACATGTATGAGTTAGGTATAAATATTGCTAACATATTATAATTTATATAAAACTTATAAATAATAAACAAACACTAGATTGAATGTAGAAGTTATAATATTACATGCTATTGTTATAAAATAAACAAACAAAAAGTATTGTAAAAAATAAATTCTATAAAAAAAGTTATAAGGATTTCAAGATTATTGTTCAACTTAATCAACTTTTATTATTATTATTATTTGATTATTATTATTTGATTATTAGCAAATCCATGGTTAATTAAATCAACTATTACAATTTTCAAAATTGACTAATTTTAATTAATTTATTCTATTTAGTTGAAGTCGGTAACAACACTAATTTGAGATCTTTAGGCTTGCGAGGGGTCAAAGTTAGTGTTTTTTTTATGATAAAGTAATTTATTAGGTTTTATTAAGTTGATAAGTTTTATATTATCTTATTTAACGTGTCTATTGGTTTTAATTTATTAAGTTGATAAGTTTTATATTATCTTATTTAACGTGTCTGTTGGTTTGAATTTATTAAGTTGATAAATTTTATATTATCTTATTTAACGTGTCTATTGGTAACAAAATAAGATTATTTTTTAATAACATAACCATACTTTTTAAACTCCAATTCTAAGGAGCTTACTTAATTAAATACTTAATTAAACAAAATAATTGAAAAAATAATTTAATATTAAAAATAAAGCAATTGTTTTGTATTAGTAAGTATGGTGTAACTCAATACAGCATTGTAGGGAGCCCCTAAAACTGCACAATAGAACATTGTGTCATAAACAATTCTCAAAATTATTTAATTTATTATTTACAGACAATTTTAATGAGATTTATTCAAAAATGACTTTTTATCTTAGTTACAAAGATAATGGTTTCCTATTATAAAAGACTTTGCAAACTTGACTATATTGTCATTAATATAGGTTTATCATGGTATTTCAAATCAAAGATATTTTTTAAAAAAAGCTCTCTGCACTGCATTTCTGTGTTTAAAAGATAAGAAAAGTATATTTCTAGAAATTTAAACTTTGTACTACAACTATGTAATGTTCACATTTATAAAACTAAAATTAGGTTGTAGTATAAAATAATTTAAATATAAAGTTGATAAGCTGTTAGCCATTTGTATAATTAAAATATAATCTCGAGCACAACAAAAATAATTAGTGTCTGTTACACAAAAAAAAACTTTTTCTTATTATTCGTGTAG